GAGGAGGAGCCTCTTCAGCTTTTGGTGGTTTTTTATGAAGCCCCATGAAGCAAATAAGCATACCTGATATTAGAAGTATTAAAAGTATGATGACGAATAATACAATTACATCTATAGTAAATTCTTCCTGTTTCGTAGTGGTAACATTTTGAGGTCCCTCTTGTGGGGGCAATGGTTCAGTTGGCTTACCAGCAGGGCCACTGTCCACACTACCCCCTTGTCCTGCAGTTGTGCAGTCAGGTGGGGCATACCCAGATTCACAGTGACAGTGCCCTAAATCATTACAAACTCCTTTCTTATTACACGTTGTCTCTGGATCACAGGCAAGCGAGACCGAGCTATAATCTGTGCAAGAGAAATTCAAGCAGACTTTCCGTGGACCACAGTAAGTGCCACTCAACACATCGCCTTCATCAGGGATGTCAACATTGGTAAAGGCATCTAAGCTCCAGCACCACTCATGTTGAAGAGGGACCTGGATCATTGTACGGTGGGATTCGGTTGTTGGTAACAATTCAATACCTGTACATACAAGTTTCCCACACAATACATCTTCACCTGTACATCTAACATAGTCGTTATCACTTACACGAGAACAGCCACAGTTTCCAAACCGGTCCCCTTTTCCATTTATTAAACTGTAACAGGCCCGTGATGCAGATTGTGCACCATCCCCAAATACCTTCGCACACTGAATGTTAGGGTCTACACACACACCTTGAAGACAAAGGTACTTGTCATTACAAATTGAGCCATCTTGCATAGTCCTGTCTTCAGGGCATGAGGCAGATGTACCATCACAATATTCTGTGAGGTCACATTGATGCTCAGCGTCACGGCAAGGGTTTCCCATCAGTTTAAGTTGACACGAAGCACAGCAGAGTCCTTCACTACACTGTGCATTTTCCTTCAGTTTACAGTTCGAGTCACAGCATGGGTTTTGATCACAAGCAGAACCACAGTCACACTCCTCTGGTTCCTCTACCTCACCATTTCCACAGCTGGGATCCCTACGCTTGCGGCCTTTGTGCCACGGCTTGTTAAATAGGCAGGCCCCTTTGTGTTCACGAAGGAAGTGGTAGAAGTAGTCAGAACTACAGTTGCTGAAGCCACTTTGTTTAGTGATATTTTCATGCATGAGGCAAAAGTGCCTATCCTTACACATGCAGGCCGAGTGGTCGTGCTGAATACCCAGGTTGTGCCCGAGCTCATGGACCATGAGCGCTGCAAACAGGAGGATATCTTCATGGTGGAAGGATTCAACAGCTGCCGCAAAACCGCTTGAACAGGCACCATTGAGAAATGCCTGGCCCATACTCTCTCCAGGATGGTGTCCAACGATCATGTGGGCAACATCATGCTTCACACGATGGAAGAGCTTCTCTCGTCTCCAGCTATTGAAATTCCTCAGTGTAACCTGCAAGTCCACTGGGACCTCTATTAGATCCCCCTCAGTCCAAATCTCCATTCCAGCTAGCACCACCTCTGTGTTTATTCCCCTAGTGAAGCTGTTGGCCAGAGCAACAATATCCACTACTCTCTGGACTGTCTCACTGATGTTACTGCCCCACATCTGGAACCGCTGGTTGTTGACCACGACAAACATCTCCACGTATTTGGCGTGTGACCACAAGTAGGACAGTGCCTGTAGATGATGAGGCTTCCTGCTCCCTCGTTGCCAGCTGGTGGACACCGCTTGGCTGTCTTTGGAAGTGACACTACAGGAGACGTGCACTTGATGTGCCATGGTGTATAACACGTGTTCAAACTGCTTTGAAGAGTCCATGGGTTCAATGCCATAAGATTTTTCCTCCTTAATCAGGATGCCCCTGAGGCCTGAACAGGTGTTGACAGAAACAAAAGAACCTGGCACTCCTTCTATGTAGCCTTCATAGTGACAGTCATGTGAAATGAAAGGCAATTCTTGCCTCAGCATGCCATTGTGGTAACTGTAGACTGGAAAGTTATTCACAAAATAGTCTCTCTTCACCTTCAGGTGAACCAGGTACTTCTGGCCTTGCATAAATAGCACATAGGATGCCTTTTCTATAGGGTCTTCACTTCCTCTGCCTGTCAAACTCTTTGGGATGACTATTTCATAGGAAGAGTAATATACCGATTCCATGTCACAGTATATGCTTGGGAGAAAAATCATCCCCAAGAGCAACATGTTCCCCAACCTGACACATGAAAGACCTTGGGCTTTCATGTTGAGAGCCAAGTCTGAAACACTCTCCTAGCCTCATACAAAACCACAGGGGGTTTCTGTACAGCAGACAGGAAGGAGGCAGAGTCTCTCTGAGGCTGTTGCTGACATGGCCCTAGTCAATCAGTTGATGATGCAGGTCTGTGTCCAGCAGCACCTCTTCCTGACACACAGACCCTCAAACACAGGAACTAACCCCAGACCTATGCTGGCTGCATGAACAGTGTCCCCTGCCTACCTCCTAGAGTTACAGCCTTCTATCTGAGTCTCTTCTTAGTGTTTCTAATGTCTCTGTTGTCCTTCTGATAGTTTCCTTTCTCTTCGACGATTTTCTATACCCATCAGCTTCATTCCGGCATCCATTAACCTCCTTTTTACATAACGGAAGGATATATCATGAAGAAGGGCTGTGAACTCTTATAACGTAGGACTGTACTATGGGAGAGGAAACAAAGTCTATCTATGCCTTCCTTAACTTCCTCAACTGGACCTCATGGAACACCCATCCCCCACCCCTGCAGTCGTCTGTTGCTCAGCTAACTCCAAATGTTCCAGACTAGGGGGAGGGGACGGGATGGGGGAGACAGAGATATCTCTGGTGGTCACTCTTCATTGCCCATTTCCTCTCCTCTAAACCCCTTGCTCTGAGCACACAAACATCTTAACCCAGGGTGATCTTTTCGACTCAGTGAGGCGTGTGTGTGTGTGTGTGTGTGTGTGTGTGTGTGTGTGTACATCTCACCAGCCAGTCTGTTAGATAAGGCAAGTGGCTGCCTTGTGCCCCAGCGTAGACCCCAATGGGCTGCTGCCCCATGGGGCAAGGGACAATAGTCCTCTTGTTTAACATCACCAGAATTTCTAAATTCTCATTATAACAATATCCAAAAGTGTATATGGGAGATGCCAACAGAGCAGACTCCTCTTATATGTGATTATCATGGGCACATTATTTGTAATCTTGGGACTGTACCCTCTGAGGGATGGCCCTACATATTGTTATCCTGAGATTATGCCTGTTGAAAGCTAGGTATCCTAAAAGTCTCCGTGTTAGAATATAATCACTGTGTTTTCAGTGCCCACTTCTGTTTGTTCATGCTGGTACTCCCAGGCCTGGGTGAGCCCCTGCCCAAGAGTAGACGAACAAGAATTATTTTTTGAATGAAGAAATGACTCCCAGGTACAGGTGGTACAGTGTCTCATCTGTTCTATGTTATTACTTTGTACTTTCTTCATGCCTGCCCTGATGGCTAAAAATGTCTTCAGAAAAACTCACATGCTGCACCATGCTGATCACATTCATGATCTCCAAATTTACCTCCTACTGCATTTTGCCAGTCAGTTCACTCTCCTAATTTCTTCCTGCTTCCTATTTCACTGGAAAAAATAGAAGCTACCACAAGAGCACTTCCACATGTAGCCCCTGCATGAATCCTCCTGTATCTAAATTTTCCTCCTATTATAATCGATGAATTGTTCACGGTGCTTCTAAGGCCAATCCTTTTACTTGTGTGTGGGGTCTCCTTCCATTTCAATTTCCTATAAACTTCACTTGGATGATGGTCCCTTCTCTCTTTTGCATCTTAGAAACCTAAGGTTTCCATTGGATCAACCTCCTTGTGGTATATATGCTATGCTATCTCACGTTAATAAAACCATTCCTTTCAGCCCACATCACTCTCCAGTAACCATCCAAATCTTGCCTCTGTTTTATAATGCATCTCTTTGATAAAGAGTACCTACTTGCTTTCTCCATTCTTAAACCACTTATCTCTTTTTGACTTTTTTTTTTTT